TAGCGGGAGTGGGAGGAACAACGCCCACCCGGAGGTCCGCCCAGATGGTTGAGATTATCGTAATCAACAGGTATGGCTCCTGTGAACGCCGAAGAAGGAGACAGCCCAGGAACCCCGAAAGAAGGCCGGGAGAAGCGTGGAGGAAACTCAACCGTTGCTGCCAATGAGAAAACGCGTTTCTAACAGGGGCGTGGATGTGAAGACCTAGAAGGGATGTGTTGCTTCAATCTTAGCGATCACAGTGAATCCATGCACAAGAAGCTCCAGTATCTGAAGGAACATGTCAACAAGATCGGCGTGGAAACAGACCCCATCGGGGACTGGCTGAGAAGTGTGTTCGGAGGCATAGGAGAATGGGGTGTGCACTTATTGAAGGGACTGCTTTTAGGGCTTGTAGTTATCCTACTTTTGGTAGTATGTGTACCGTGCTTTCTACAAATTATGCTAGGTTGTATTCAAAGGATGATTGACCGCACAGTTAACTATCGCGTAGAATATAGTAAAATGCAAAAGGCTTGTAGGCAGTCAGGAAACGCGGCGGTATAAGGGTAGCGCGGGATTACTTTGCGATTCGGGATGTAATGGGGCAAGGCTTAACTGAGAGGACAATGGCATGTATAGGCGCAAAGCGGGGCTTCGGTTGTACGCGGTTAGGGTCCTCTCAGAATGGGGTAATTACGCTTGTGCATAGGGAGGGGGAGATGTAGACAGCGAGCATAGAACCTTCGAGTAGTTGCTAGTAGTAACCAGATAAGGAAGTAGTGATGCAAGTGCTTACGCAAGATAAGAGGGGCATAGACGAAGTTGTACAAGGCTATATAAGCTACTGCCACGAGTTAATAAACGCCATTTTACCACCCACCACATTGGTGTGCACCTGGGGTAGATGGACAGACCGTTGAGTCCCTAACGATTGCGAACACCTGGATGAAGCGGAAGGCTTCAGTAGCAATCTTTGATAAATGGCTAGTTTTCCCCTTCAAATTAGAGTAAGAGTACCAAACTATACTCAGCAGCAGTTAGGAGATACTACAAAAGCACAGAACATCCCAAGTTGGAAGAGAGCCACAAGGACCACTGAGTCCAACTCCTGTCTCCATACAAAAACCCAAAATTCAAATCCTATGTACTGAGAGTGCTATCCAAACATTTATTCAACTCACAGCAGTTCAGTGCTGCGACCGCTGTCCTGAGGAGCCTGTTCCATGCTCACTACCCTCTGGTGAAGAATCTCAATCTGACCCTCCCCTGACACAGCTCCATGCCATTTTCTTGAGTCCTGCTGCTGTCACTAGAGATCAGCACCTGTCCCTCAGTCTTCTCTTCTTTAGGCTGAACAAACCAAGTGACCTTGACAAAACCATTATTCAGAGATTTAATAAACAAAATGCTACTGTTGAGAAGCCAAGAACTACCCTGAAAGGTTGTGCCTTTCAGTACGCACTGGGTTCCAGCTCCTGTCACTGACATGTGTCAGTCAAGACCTTCCTGTGGATGGCTTCCTGTTGACCATCAATGAAAAGACTCAAATTTTCAGAACATGACTTATCAATAAAAATTGTTAATATCTTATACATTTTCTATACAATTAGCAAGATTTCATTCACTGATACCTGGACTCTCTTAATTAAGTTCTGAAAACTAATTGTTCTGCAATCAGTGGAGCAATAAAATTCTTTGACAGTATTTTTTCACATGAAAAATCAGTTGCATTAATCCTCTATTATGTAATTTGAAAAAGAGCCTTCAAGTTAAATATTCTCATGCTAAGTATACTAATATTAATTCTACTGACACCTTGAACCAAGATTAACAAGCTGCAGCTTCTGTTTGCCCTCAATCACTACAATGCAATGCATCTGTTGCCCATCCCGTCTATTACCTGCATCAAAAGTGGATATGGCGCAGTACAGAAAATTGGGCTGACTGACTGACAACATAAAATTTCAATAAATATGTAAAACTGTAAGCAACATTTACTGCTACTAAGGGCACAACAGGACAGATTCGAAATTAGAAATCATTCAAGATTTCCCCCTTTTCTCCGGCTCTGTCTCAAGAAGCTGTGCACTTACAGTTTATGAAGAAGCGACCATAGTCTTTAGGTCTCTTAATACATGCAATCACTGAATCTAAAATGAGTATCCAAATCAGACAGCTTCTGTTCTTTATCAGACTTATAAACCAACAAAAAAAATCCCAAAGGTTAGAAAACTGACCCTAATTCCTGTTGCAAAGATTCTTAATAAATGTTTCTTGCATGTTTCTTAATAAATTCCATTTTTAACTTACCAGATTTAGGTGTTTGTTGTATGAAGTATACATGTGAGATGCCATCATTTCCACTGTAGTTAGTTTCTGTGGTTGAAGCAAGGAATTTAATCTGTCCACAATACTAATATCCAGCTCACAAAACACTGGACTTAACTTTATTTGTAACTCTGCTTTCTGTGGAATAGAACTAAGTCTGCCTTGACTACCCTGAAAAGAAAGAGAAAAAGTACTAAAATCTTTAAAAACAATACAATGAAGCAAATAATTATATGTTAAATACTCTCAGTTGTACAAGATACCTTCTTGTAAAAATGAACAGAACTAGACAAAGGTTATTATGTAGAAAGGTGGTGTTTTTAATATCCTTCCTTACCTGAGGTCCTCTATTGTCTGAATGCTTATAGTGAAGCTGAAGGCATGGCAGAGCATGAGAATCATTTTCTTCTTCAGAACGAAATGTCAGCAGCTTTAAAATAATAGTTAAAACAATTAATGAAAAAGAGTAAGAGTTGCCACGGGTGAAGACATTTATGATATTTTTACTAGAAAAGATAGCATGTAATCCTGGATTCAAGTCAATGAATAGAGCCTTGGCCCAACCACTTACTTAGTCCCTTTGCTCAGTTTATTAGATGCTTCTCTTCATTAAAAGAGCTGGAACAATAATCATCACCTAAAGGAACTTCCCCACTCCTTAACTCCGTGAGTTAAGGAAAATGCTTACTCTAATTCCCAAACTGAGTTAAGCATATTTGAAAGAGACGCAAACTAGTGAAGTTTGACTAACTAATAGCTCTTTTGACAGGTATGACAGCAGTCCAGTTCAACATTTGATCTTAAAATAAGATATACCTTAAAACCACAGCATGTATCAACTTCTTACATAAATACTGTAACTATTTTAAAATCTAGTATTTTCAATTACACAATTTATATTTTCTGGGGAGATGCCCAATTTTTTTTTTTTTTTTTTTACCTCTGTATAGTGAGGCTGAATGGAATGAGAGTCAGTAGAAAAGAGACATTCTAGAAACTCCATATTCCCAATGGATAAATCCGTACTAAAACTTCGAGAAGCAGACCTTTGTCTTTGTTCATAGGACACTCTGATGCCAGTACCTATAAATCTGAATAATAAAAATTATGAATTACCGAAATTAGCATGAAACAATAAAATTAAGAAAAGTCAAGCTTTCAGCATGGGAAAAAAGTATCACTTCAAACCTTTTAAGCATCATTAAAACTGTTGAAATTTGTAACTTAATATGATTTTTCTAGTTATTACTTCAGCAACATAATGAAAGGATTTCACATCACATGTTCAACAAAGATTAATGTACAGAAATTCATGACAACCACTTCAGACATCTAACTTCACATGTAATTCAGGAAAAGCTGGACATCTAACATCCTTATTTAGACAAAGTCTGATGCCTAATAAAGTTTAGATTAGAGCCATAAAGTAAAAAAATATATTTTCTCTCCTAAATTTCCGCATCTTAGACTGCGCTGGGAAAATTAAAACTTCTGGACAAAAAACAATTGTTTCTGAAGTAGGATCTTCTTAACTGTACTGAATTTGTATTTTGCAATAACTAAAAACCTAAGTTTCTCAAAACAGAATTCTTCTTTTGCAATAAAGATGGTCCTAAAAATATATTTTAAAGAAATATATTCTAAAGAAATCATTTACGTAATGATCCCAATTCCATGGCTTTCTGGACAAGAAATTATACCTAGTTTAATCAATCTGTAATAGAAGGGAGCTTGGCTCACTTCATTGTTAATGCACTTCTCTTATTGTTTGGTTTTTTTTTTTAAATAAAAATAGCAGTAGTCTTAGACAAAAGATGTCAAAACATAAGGCTATTTTGAAATGAACAGTCTAACATTCAGTTAAGTAGTAAGCCCAGTGGATATAAACTTCATTGTTTATTCAAGCTTACTTAACAGATATATATATATATATATATATACTTAATTGGTTTATAAATAAGCGAAGTTATACCTAAGGTGATCATGAGAACAAGCTTCTGAAAATACTTCTCGGAAGGACAGAAAATCTTCAGTTGCAAACTTAACTGGCTCAATCTTTTCTATTCGGGCAAAGAAATCTCGAGCCATTGGTGTCAAAGGGTTATGGTTCAGTGAACTTTCAGGTGGAGGTAAAGGGTCAATATGAAGTACAGACACTGAGAAAGTTCCCACTGTGAGTCTAAAAAGAAGCTCCGGTCTGGATTCATCCACAGAAACAGATCTGGATGGAATAGCTGAAATATAAAATTAAGTTTGTGTAAACAACAAATTCATAACATCATCTTACTTTTTATTTATTTATTTTTTTTTTTACTAAGTTGCTCAAAGTTTATTTCCAGTATCATCTAGGAAGCAGAATGCAAAACAGCATTTTTACTTACACGCTTTCCTTAAGGAAGCCTGGTGAACCACATTGGCTGCAAGTGAAGAACTTCTTGGAGGCTGTAGTTCTTGTTTGTTACGATCAAGAAAATCACCCCAGGTTGGTTGAAGCTAAAACAAAAATATGTATGATCTTAAGTTTGCTAAATAGATGTGTATGTATATATATGCATGAAAAGGTGGCTGTTCCAAAAGTAACGCCTCCTATGTTATTACATTAGCCTGCAACGTCAGAGGTGAATTTTCGAAGTAAAGCAACAGAGGCTGAACCTTTCCATCAATATTCCATTGTTATTGAGCAACAGATGGCAGGAGAGGGGTAATCTAAGAAAAAGGCATCTGACAAGAAGCAAAGGTGTGAAACTGAATTCCTCCATGAAGAAAAAATTGCACCCACTGACGTTCATCAATGCTTGCTGAACGCTTATGGAGACCAAAGAGTGGATGTGAGCACAGCAAGAAGGTGGGTGCTGTGTTTCTGCAGTAGTTGACAGCAACATTAATGACAAGCCATGTTTCATATAGCCATGCACAGTCACACTATGAAGAGCATCTCTACCAGCTCATCCACACAAATCAGCAGATTATGAACAGGGAATGTGTACAGAGCTTAACATCAGCTTCAGTCCATTGGAAATGATGGTGGCAACGCTGGAATATCGTGAAGTTACTAATATTTGGGTCCCACAAATGCTTATTCTGGAACAGAGAAAACACCGTATGCAAGTTTGTCAGGACTCACTGAGCCAACATGAGGTTGAAGGTTTCCTGGATCACAGGATTACTGGTACGAGATGCAGTGTCAACTCTACAAGAGAGTCAAAACGGCAGTCCATGCAGTGGTGACATGAAGTCCCCATCAAAGAAAAAGTGCAAGACACAGCGGGTAAAGTGATGTGCATGGTCTTTCGGGGCAGGAAAGGGGTGATCATTCTGGATTTGCTGGAACCCAGACAAAAAAAAAAGAAAACGAAATCAACTCTGACTGCTACATCACAATGCTGACTAAACTGAAGGATCAACTTCCAGAGTCAGGCCAGAGAAAAAGACAACCTTTCTCTTGCAACACAATAACACCATGCCTCATATCAGTTTGAAGACTGTGGAGCACACTGCCAGTCATGGCTGAACTGTCCTACAACATCCATTAGGCACCTTCTGACTTCCATCTGTGTAGACTGATGAAAGATGCACTGCAGGGACAACATTTTCCTAGCAATGACACTGCCACAGCAGCTGTGAAAGAGTAGGTCACCTCCACTGGTGCCCATTCTTACAAATGCAGCATGCAGGTTTTTATTCATGGCTGGTGAAAAGGCACAGCCAATGATGGTGATTACATGGAAAGACAGTGTTTGTTAGAGGAGAACAGTCTCCAGAGTGTTATTGTGCTTTTTGTGTATGTTGTAGTTTTCATGGTAATAAATAGGAGGCATTACTTTCAGAGCAATCCACATGTATGTGTGCATATGTGTATTAGATCTAGCAAATAACAGGCAAAGTAACACAGACATCTGTACATAAACAATCAATAGCATACCATTTCATGGCCTGTCAAAACTCAAATGAATTATGTACATATGCTTTACTTTAGGTTATACTTTTAAATTTTATGATAGTCTTTATCACGTTTGTAAACCTGGATATACTTGCTCTCTCACTCAATGTATATTCTCCTGTTTCTCCCTAAAAAGCATGTTTTCCATTCTTTTAACTAAACATTAGGCACCTAATAAATTTTGAAAAGATAGAGATATCAACAGTATATATTTTTCTCATATTAGGAATTAATACAGTGATTTTCTGCTTTTTATTGCCATCACCTATGTAGTCCATAATAAAAGAAAACCCAATATTCAGTTACAAAAACAAAAGAATCTCTCATAAGTTTTCTACATAAGTTTCAAAGGAATCGAAAACAAATACATTCCATTTCCTGTCTCAGTAGCCAAACAGATGAGAATCTTTCCAATGCAGTTTCTATAGCCTTCGAGGAAAAACTATCAGATCTAAACACCTTCACTGCCTCGGTGAAGTTCTTGTCTGACCTATCCTCATACTAGTTAACACGTTCAATTATCCTAGTTTTGCTACAGCTCTTCATATCGTAAAGAATATTTATACAATACAAAGAAATAAAAGAGGAAAAAAAGGCTGATTTCAAGAGGATTTTAAATATAGCTAATATTATACATACCACTGTTGTGCTCAGTGGAGATCCTGCTGGTGTGTTTGTATATGTACTAGTTAAAGACAAGTCTAGATCCATAGTTGGAGGGTCTCCAAGAGGTGGAAGGGAAGAAAGGCTGTGAGACATGTCCATTTCAGCCATTGAGAAGAAAACTTCTTCCTCTAATGAGAATCACACATATTAAAGAATTATTTTCTAATGAAAAAGGATTATTTTTAAAAGAAACGCATTTCTAAGTTCAGAAATCCGACAGCTAGAAAGAACAGTCAACAAATATATTATTTCTAAGAGTTCCAAGTTAATAACCTTAAAAATATTAGAAAACAGAACATTTGGATTTCATATTCAAGTTGACATTATTTCTTTAAGCTCATGCACTCTTGACAAATGAATATATTAAATCTCAAATAAAAACCAGTAAAAATAATAATGCAAATAAAAATGTAAATACAAGAAAAATTGAACCGTTTTTCATTCTATATTTCATTTCCTCAATGTGTTGAAAAGATGTTACAGTACACATGCATTTACCATGTTGCACATATTAAATGCGCACACAGATTACTGAACTCTTTTAGATGAAGCCTAGCCTAACCTCACGGAGCCTGATATTCATTTTTATTCAACAGTGTAACTAATGGCTTAGAATAATTCTACGTCAAAGTTACTTTGATCCTTAATCTACCAATAATAAAAGCTCAACAGCTGTTCTATATAATCCTTTATATAATCTCTCTATATAATCTAACGATGGGCTTTCTGCTATGCTGTATCACATTTATACTTGCCGCGACTAGAAGGCGTTCTGGCAGTTTCTGTCTCATAGAAGCTTTGTTCAGATGAGGCTCCTGCAGATAAAGACTCTTTTCTTAAATAACGTTTCAATTCCATCTGAATTCGATACTCATCTTCCTGTTGCATTGGCCGGTTCTTCCTATCTTTATTAGACAACTCTATCCTGCTTAGGCTTTCTGAATTTAAGAAGAAAATTAAAAAATTCAAAATGCACTGTTATTTTCTTAACAATATCTATAAAAAAAAATCAGAACCAAATCTGAAAATTAACTAGCTGTTGGTGCTGGGGTATGCGTGCATTACTTGCAACTCTGGAATATTTTATGGTCATATATGCAGATTTTACTACTAAGGAATTACAAAAATATCAGGTTTTAAGATGATACAAATGAGAATGCTTTTTCAGTTAGCCAAAACCAATTAACAACTCCAGTAAAAGAAAAATATTAGCATCATCAGAAGACTATTAAGCATGCACCAAAGACATGACAAATCTCAAGACAACTAACTGCCCATCCAAATAGTAAGTATTGTTACATCAGGAACGCACAGGGAAAACAAAAAGCAACAACAACAAAAAACATTCTTATCTTGTTATTGCAATGATCTAAATGCTGCCTGTTGATTACTTAGCAAATACAGACAAATTTTTCCTCAAGCATCATATACTAAATGTTTTCAGTGCCTGTTTCCAAAGCACAGTAAAAACTGGATTGCTAAGCTCATCTGGTCAGATAGAAGCTATAAGAACTAAAACTGTTCTGGCTTCCTGACCATTTCCAACTGTCATTTCCCCAACTGTTCTATTCTACTCTTCCAATTTATTTTATTGTCTACATTTTCATAACCAACAATCTGCAACTGAATACAAACTGTATCACAGTACTACACAGAACAGCACAGAATAGAGCTTTTTGCTAAAACCAAACAGAAAAGAACAATCACCACAAACACTTTTTTCAAGTAAAGAAACTTGTTTATCTTGTAAATCTTCATTTTTGTCCACATAAACCCACATTTAATATGCACAGGACGTTCACTTGCCTGGTCCAGCAATAGCTGCTACCATGTCCAATAGAAGATGCACTTGCCTGGGTGACAAAAATAGATGTATAGAGTCTATCTGTCCATCCACATCCAACTAAAGAAAGGAAAAACACAAAATCATGAACACAGTTTTCCTTCTAAAGTCTCAATGATTTTGATACTAGATTTTCATGCTGTACAGAATACAGCCATTTCAGTAAATTTTTTATCTTCTAAACACCCAGAACTTTTAATTATGTATTGCTACCAATCTGTAGCTTGGCAAGATGAACACAGATTTGCCACCCACAATTTATTTGCTTAAATACAGATCACGTAATAGGGAAATTCAAGAATGCCAGTAGTTGCACTTGCTCAACATTTCTAAAAGCAACCAACAGTGTAAAGGTAGTATTATGCACATACTACAAAATACTGAAATCAACATCTTCTGAAGTTAGATTTTAAAAGCTGTGAAAGTTCTCCTCAGAATTACTCTTCATTGTAGAGATTAATAGATTTAAATACTTCCTTGCGACAGAGTGGGGGTGTTTTTAAATGTCTCACTGTTTTGACACTGTAGGTAAGGTAAGTTTATCTTAACAACTTGTACAGATTTGTCAGTTCTAGATTCCTACACTCCTAGACATTGGTCCACTCATGATTATTACTCATTTTATTGTGTGTCAGTGACAAAGAGCTGGTAGCAGGGTATGCTGCAGGGGTGTCCTCTGTGAGAAGAGGCCGGGTGCCGCACAGGGCTGGCTCCTGTATCAGACTCCCCTCGGGACACAGCTGAGCCCATCAACAAAGATTTTCACTTTTGTGAAAACACACTTAAGAAAAGGCAAAATGCTACACAGTCTGAGAAAGAAAAGAAATTTGTGAGAAAAAATTGTGCAAAACCCAAGGTCAAAGAAGGAGTGGAGAAGGCGCTCCAAATACTGAAGCAGGGGTGCCCCCTGCAGCTCATGGAAGATAACATGGTAAAGCAGTTTCTCCTTGCAATACTACAATTGTTAAGACATTATGTTAATATCAGAGACAATGGGCATACAAGTTTACTTATATACTCACACTTTTTTTTTTTTTTTAAACACACTCCTATTTTCAACTGCTTTGTTTCTTCTATCTTTCTAAGTCAAATAAAACATTATTATAAATAGTGGCACTTAAATTTGGCATTACTATTTGATTCCTATAAATAGTAATGTAAAAATTCAGAAGTGGAAATGTTAACAAGAGCTTTATAATGCTGCAGTGCTGTAGCCTCAATAAGCAATGTTGTAATTATATCCTTTTAAAACTTAAGTGTTTTTAATCAGTCATTTAAACATTCCACAGGTACATAAGCTAAGTCAGTCATAGTGCTACAAGGAAAAAGAAAATGGATCAACAGAGCAGTGGGAGTATCATGAAAACAAAACTATTTTCTCAAGAGTCACTGCAGTATGTAAATTCAGTTTGTCTCCACAACATAGGAATTCTCCTTTAAGAGATGACAGTGCATTTCTTGTACCTTGAAATATTTGAATTCACTCTGAATTGAAGTAGCAGGAGAATACCGAAGTAGATATTGCACCTCTCCACTTGATAAATAAAAAATAGACTCACAAACCCAAACTGAACTTATGTACTTATTCATATAAGTAGAAAAATCCTCTAACAGTTATGTACTTGTTAACAGAAAACATTTGTATATTTTTCCTGCCTTTTATTACAAATCCTGAGAGCATACCAGCTGGCCACTGTAAAGCTGTCTTATTAGAGATATGTACTGATTCTCAATGAAAGAACCTAAAACAAAAAGTATTGTTACTTTGCCTTTTTTTTTTCTCCTACTGCATAACAAAAAAGTCTTATGTGACTATTAATTTAAGCATCAGGAAAGCATGACTAACCTTAGCTCCAGGAAGTACTTCATTTTGCTTTAATGTTAGGCTCAATTCAATTCTACCAATCAGCTTACTGATCTGTACAGGGTCAGAGGGAGTAATTTCTGGCAAGTTTCTTGTTAATTGTGGATGAGGCTCATAATTGATTTTTGGGTTCCAGCTGGGTGAAAGCTTTGGTTCAGTTGCCTTGAAATGTTACACAGAGAGGAATTAGAATGTATGTCATTTCTTATCAAAAAAGACGTAAACATGCATAAGCTTATCACACAAGTAATAGTTATAAACAAATATAAATTTGACTGTGCTATTAAAACATACTTATTAATAACTGTTAAGAAACAAGTAAAATCTGAAATATCAGGCCTTGACAAAAACTGGAGCAAGTTTCCACAGAATATTAACTTAGAGAGTATTTCCACATATTAGAACTAGCATCCAGATTCCAGTACACCATTTTAAATTTTACTCAGTCCTAAAGTCTCTATTTTCTTCCCCCTTGCCAAAACTAACAGAAGAGATTATGAAAGTCACTAAGCACAGATTCAAGTAGTTTAATTTCTATATCCTCTAGAATGAATCTAATATATAAGCATAACATTACATTTTATCCTTCATCACGTGACATTTTACATATTGCATTTAATTTTACCAGCTGTGTAGCTGAACAGACTGGGGAGGACTTTGTTGATGCGGGAAACTCATCCCAGAAGAAAGAGACACCTGAGAGCTGAAGTAACTTGTGAGCAAAAGCTGTGGGCTGATGTACATTAATTCCAGAGCACTCATCAGCAGTTTCATCACAGTACATAGTTCTGGGAGACAAAAGCAAGGAAATAAAGATGGTAGGAGCATGCAAATTTTTACCTTTATTGTGCCATATAGCCTCTAAGTTTGTATATACTCTCTCTCTCTTCAGACTATTTACAATGCCGTTGACTGTCCTGAAAGGAGAAACCACCACTCTCTGGGAATGGGTGGAAATCTTGAATTTTCTACATGACAAATGCAGCATGCTTTCAGTGTAATATATCCTAGTGTATTGCCCTAGTACTTTGTCTAATTTGATGATAAAGAGTCTGTGCAAAAACATACAAATGTTTCCATTGGGACGTACATAATGCTTGTTTCAGAACCCTAACTTTTGGAAAATCTACCATATAACGCGTTTGTGTTGTCTATAAACACTGCCTGAAAGAAATAATCTGGAAGTTAGAAATAGAGAAAATGTATTCCAATTCCGTAAATTGTCTGTGCAATTACATTTCTTACATTATAATACTGAGATGTAGCATAAACAGCAAACTCTTGAAAAGTCTCCACAAAACAGCACTTGCAGTGGAAAAACACATCTGCTATTCCATAAATAAAATGTATCAAACATCGAAACAGCATGCTACTTATTTTTTTCTAGTGAGAGGTTGCCTCATTTGCTAGTACTATTCACTGACATTTGAACTTCTGAGAAATGGTGTTCATAAACTGCAGAAGTGGTCATTATCTTGTCTTTAGAAAAGAAATCTAGATCTCTTCTGATTTGATGATTAAATATTTTAGCTAAAACATGTTAAACAGAAGTTCAGTGGAGAAACTCTTTACTGACTTCATAAAAGAGGTACTCTTAACATGGTTGGTGAAGAACTACTGTCTAAATGTATATAAAAACTGTGCACATGCGTACAGAAAGTGGCAACAAAGTGTCCTTTAAACAAACAAGCAAACAAGAAAAACCAACAGATTAAAATTTTTACCTTTCAATTCGAATTTCAAGTGCAGTTCCACTTTTAGAATTCTCCGGCACGTGTTCGATTCGCAGAACAGTATCTAAGAAGGTAACTTTCACTCTTCGTAGTACTTAAATGAGAAAGTTAAAACAGCAAAGTCACTTTACTCAATAATGACTTCTATAAACCAAATGAACACTTGAAATTAGGGAAGTTCTCAATGAAAATAAATTGCAAAATTCAAGTGGCAATGTAAACTACCATTAAATGTCTAATACACACATTTACATCATGCAACCAACCTCCAATGCATGAATACCTAGGCAAGTGACAATTCAAACCAAGTTGTTCTACACCTCAGCACGGATGATCCTTAAATCACCTGCTCCATTATCCACCTTGTCTAAACACTTAAACACTGCCACGTGTTGTTTTACTTTGCTACTTCTATTTCTAGAACCAATTTTAAAGATTTCCCTTAGCTCAGACATTCTAGCACTAGGCTCTCCACTGCATGATGTGGCCATCAGTCCTTATTTTCTTCCATTTAAAAACATGCAGTTTCTAAAGAACATCTAGCAGCATAGCATGATTAGAGATTGAGAAGTATATCGTAACAGGTCAGTTTTCTGTAAAAAATGGTTGAAAAACTATTGTTTTTTCTTTAAAAGCATCACCACTAACAACAAGGGACCTCATCAATCATTCGCTGAAGCAGAGATTTACGTGGATGTGCTCTGGTATAAACAAAAGCCAATTTGGCCCTGAAGAAGGGCTCACTCTGTACACTGAAGGGATGCACACATTTCTGTAAATATATCTGTTGGTTTCTTTTTCCCCTCCTGCTTTCCTACTTAAACTTTACAGTAAACAAGTGAAGACATACAAGACAAGTCATAGAGAACGAAATGTCATTTTGTAAAATCAAGTCATAATATAAATTGATAGTCTGTGACATTCATTCAGACCTCAATAATGAATTCATACCTGTTTCAATAGTTTCAGCAAATTTTTCAAGTCCTTCAAAAGGCTGGGACCCTTCTCCTTGTTCATCTGTCAATTTTTGGCTAAGACACTCTTTTGCAAGTTGCATACTACTGGTCATAAAACTTGACCAATACATAGGTTCAGAGCCAGATGCTGCAGAGTAAGAGAAATATTAATAAATTTGGCTGTAAAAATTTTGAAACAATGAAAACAACAAAATAAATTTGGCACAACAACAACAAAAGTTTCATCAGCTTATTAAGACATTATGATCTGTCTTTATGCGATATACTACTTCAAAATCCATTTAGATTGTACTGGTATGATTCTGGTAGTTGAAAATCCAATGTAAATGAGATAAAACCAGAGTTAAGAGTAACCAATATTCAACACTGGTTTAAGTGAATACTTCACTTGAATATTACTGTATTGGTATGACTTCGCAAGCATAATCAGCAAAATGAAATAAAAAGAAATTATTCTCTTCACAAATTATTTTACAGTTTCCTATTATATTTAAAACATACTCTAGTTGAGGAAGGAATAAGTAAAGTTTAAAATGTTATCGTAACATATTAACTAATAAATGCTTTAAACATCCAACACAGACCTGAACTAATAACCACAAAATAATAAAACAGCAATCCAAAAGCAAAGCGTGTACTAAGCTGAACAAAATTTTTTAGCAATCAAATCAAATTAATTGAAACTCCTATCAGCTAGTGCTGAGCACAAATGTAATCACAGTAAATAGACAAAACATTCCAGCTTAGAATTGAGGGTAAAATTTGCATGACATATTTTTTCTACTGTTATAATGTACTCTGCATCAATTATAACTAAACAAATGCAAGTGAATAAATAAAGCTTTCTTCTAATATTACCATTCTTTCAAAGCAGTAATTTCACATCAGAACATAAGACTGCACAAAATTCAGTTCCAGTTAAACAAACAAGAATGAGATGTGGAGCATGAATAAGTTACTTGAAATATCTTGCAAAATAAGGGAATGAATAAATAAATAATAAGCCTACCAAGCCTTGGTCTTGGCCTGAAGACCATCTCTAATCCTTTTAATTCTAATGCACAGTTGTCCTGTAGCAATGACCCCCATGGAACAGATAAAGAAATTGACTGGATGAAACCATCTGTGACTTCCAAAGGTGCATCTGCAGACTCCAGGATCTCATTCAGACACTAGAAGGAAAAAATAATAATAATAAATTAAAAAAAAAAATCAAAAGAAGATATCAGCATATTAACAACAAAATATAATGCATATGTATTATACACATGTGCATACAAAACATACACTAAATATATTAACAAATAAAACAAATCAAGCTATAAGAAAAGGAATTCTACTCAGAGAGACAATAAACTGGTTATTTTCAATCATTTTGATTCCATTGCAATTTGTTTTCCACTTAGTTCTCAGCTTTCAGCATAATAGAGTTTTACCTCTGAGTAGCTGTATAATCTGTGCTTTTACAATACATCAATAAATTCTGTTATAACTTTGGTACAATCTATTCATTTTCTGGCAATACTTTCAGACAGTGAAAAACAGGCTAAGAGTAAAATTACCACAAGTATCTGGCTTCTGTGACAAGACTATTTCATAAGACCTTAATTCCAATGTGTTGCTTGTTTTAGTTTTCTCTGTGATAACTGGACACTGTACCCAAATAATCATTCCTTGCTGCATACTACTCTTGCCATTTCTAAATCACATTTTAACTCATTCAAAGTTATGTTCAGCACTAGTTTAAAATTTTGACAATCAAAACTCGGTTGACAGACTAATATTCTACAGAAACTGCTCCATTACCATTAATCAGATCTGTTATAGTGATATTATAAACAAACCTAAAATCACATTGTCCTAAGTAACACCAAGAGTATCACCGATGAATGAAACTGATTACAAAAAAGGAAGCAGCTCTGAAGATGTAATTCAGGACTTTGATGCTGTCCCAAATCCTCAGAAAAGAATATTTTTTTGCATGATAGATCTTTCACTGCAACCATGGAGTCCAAAGAGCCAACTATAAAACCCAGTATATTCCTATCAATATACACATACATAAAAGGAACCACCTTGTTTGTGCTCTGATTCAGAAGTTTAACAGTTTCCATTTTAATTAAATAAGCACCATCAAGGCTAATAATATAAACAAAATCTAAGTCACATACCAAATTGGTAAGTGTAACTTTCTACACAAGATCCTACAAAAGATGTGGTTGCAGTATCATTTAGACATAGTATTCAACAGAAAAAGCCATGTGGTTTTGACCTTCCTGTCTTGAAAAAAAAAACACTGATTTTTATCTCAAGAAGTGTGAATTTATGATTAACACACAGAGAAGGATTTAAAAGATGTTTTCCACTTTTAAAATGCTTAATAGGATCATTTAAAAATAAACTGAAAAACTTTAGAAAACAAGATCTTTCACTATTGAGTCTTCAGTTCTATTTGTCACATTAATTTGCTGCTCTATTTACATTCTTAGTAACTTTGCTTTTAGAATTTGTTTACTTTTCCAGTTTCTGTTCCAAAGTCTACTCAAGAAGTAGAAAAAGACATCCACATCTAAAAAACAGGGCTTGAAACAGTTCTGTTAGGAAGTTAAAAATCAAACTACTAGTAAAGATTCAGTGACATTAAGATCTTATTTTGAATTAAATGTATTGATTATAAATAATAACTGAAGATAAAAAAAAAAATTATTTAGCATGAAAACCTTATTTGAAATAACCACCAAATAATTTAAATTACTCAGATCTTTATAGATAAATTTGCTATAGAAGGAAGTGAACTATTGAAACCAATTTTGAATAAATCTGATCTCTGAAATCTTTTTGCTACATTGCAACAAAAATATTGAAGTATGTTCTTTATTAAACAGAAATTTACTATTGTAAAGGGGAAAATACATATATATATATATATATATATATATATATATAACTATAAATATAAAGCATTTTTATATCAATTGTTCCCATAAAGAAGGAATTAGATCATTCTAAGAGAAATTTTAGAAGTGAAGCACAGTCATCAGGACTTGCTCCCATATGGGACTGAACACACAGAGCTGGAATTGCAGACATACCACCAACTAAAGGATTATTCAGTGTATGTTAAAATTCAACCACAAATAACATGGGTTTTATTCCAACTTTTCTAAACAGCCTAGGAAACAAAGAAATTACAGCAACAGCCCCACACATTCCTACTATCTCTATAAGCTATAAACGTGTAGAATATTGGCTAAAAGACCGATATTAAGATGAGTAAAAGTATCCACAAAAATGGATAAGACAACGAGCAAGCCACACTTAATTCTGGTGATTCATCAAGAACCAGTTTATGATGACTAGAGGTAAACAGAGCTTCCACAACATCTGTTTTGCAACCTGTCATACATGAGTCACGTGCAGAGAACCTTAAACGTGTCATTCATTGTTTACAAGTCAGAAAGACAAATACTAATCTACAAATGGGAAAGATAATCTGAACATCAGCATATATACATTTAATCACTCTAAATGCATAATTAACTATTCATTAGTACTGTCTGTAACTGCTACAGTTTCAAAATATTTATATTTTAAATAATGAAGACTGCTGTGACACCCACTAGAGGGCATAACATTTCAATTAAAGCCTCACACAAAACAGGAAAGCAAACAAACGGAAAAAAACACCACCAACAACAAAACCTACACTAAAGTGCTGGTCATGCTGAGCATTTCAGCAAAAAATCTGCCACTTTCAAACATACTTCATATAAAAACTGAAAAAGAACTATGTGAAAACCTCAGGCATTTACAAGCATTTTAAAATAATGCAGTATACTAAAAACAAGTTTTGAAAGCAGTGTGTAAAGCAGTAAGCCTGTGCACTTAATCATATACGCTGCCTTGAAAGTCAATGAGTGACGCACACAAGTGCTTAAGGCTCTTCACAACAGCCACTGGACTCACAGGTACAACCAAGTAACATTGGTAATTAACCCCAGAAACTTGACGAAATACTACAAAGAGGGACACAGAACTTTGTATTACTACAGCAGGCTGGAAGTACACGTGTGTGTATGTACAGGTGTATACATACACATATACGTTTATAAATATACACACCAGGACTGAATAAAGCTTCTGCTGACTCTAAGCATGGCAGCCCACCTGCTGAGCACGCGCAGCTGAAAGCAGCTACACATTTCCTGTCAACACAGACCTCCAGCATTTCAAGACCAGGCTATGCAGAGGTCTAAAAACAGGCCCGAGTTCAGCACAACACTGTAAGAGCTAAGCTGCCTCCAAGCTGAAGACAGACGGCAATCAGAGCAGGGATCGCTGTGTTTATGTCATCTCTGCTAGTAGCCAGTACGCCAGATCCTCGGCAGTCACAGGAGCAATTGCTGGTAGCGGGGCTAATATTAGCTCCTCCTCCTCCCTGCCACCAACTCTCGCCTTCCTTTAGTTACACTGCCAACGCTTTTCCCCCTATCACCAACGATAACAACAAAACCGCGTCACGGGGACAGAGCACCGGGCGGTGCAGACGAGGGCAGCGAGCGGCGGGTCCCTCGGGCACAGAGGCGTCTCTTACCCACTTGTCCAGAGGGACCTGCGTCAGAGAGCCGGTGCCCTGGTAGAGATCCAGGCTGAGCTGTTCCAGGCTGAGCTTCTCCTGCAGGAAGTGGCCCAGGTACCTCTGCAGCAGATACCTGCAGGCCCTCTTCTTGATGGACTCCGAGAACGGCCACGGCATGGTGGCTGCGCGCTGGGAGCCGGGATCGGAACGGGGATGGGGCCGGGGCGGCCGCTCGGAGATGGGGTGCGCGGAAGCGGCCGGGCCCAGGCCCGCCCCTCAGCGCGGATTACCCGCAGCCGGGCTCCCCCGGCGCCCCTCGCACGGCCGATGGGGCGGCACCGCCTGCCCTCAGGCGCCCGCAGGTAGCTCCATCCTCACTCGGCCGCCGCCGCCGCCATCTTCCCGGCGCCCCGCGAGCGCGGAGGGCACGGCGGCGCCGCACGGCACGAGGGCTGTGGCGGCGGGAAGGGACTGGGAAGCGGCCGGGGGCGTTCGCCGCGCCAGCTCCCGCCGCTGGCACGGCCGGGTCGGAGCGACGCGAACCGCTCGCCGCCTTGCCTTCCTCCGCGCGCCTCCCCCACCGCGCCGAGCGCCGTCACCGGCACCGTGACGCAGGGCGGAAGTGGCGTCTCCGAGCGGAGGAGGCGGGGGCGGAAGCGGCCGCGGGAGGCGCGGAGGGGGGCGGTGGCGGCGGCAGCAGCTGGGAGGAAGCGGTCCGGGGCGAGCGGGGCGGCCGCGCTTCGGCGGGACGGCTGGCGCCGCAGCGGTTTGGGGCTGGGCGCCGGGGCTGGTAGGTGGGCTGCCTCGGGGTGAGGTGGGAGGGAGGCTTCCGGTCCCGCTGCGCTGCCGTGATCTGTGCGCGTTGTGAGCGCCGTTAAATCGCAGCAGTTCTCCGAGGAGCGGCTCTACGACCGGCTCTCCCGCTGCTGGGGGTTGGCCGCGAAGCCTGCCCTCGTCTGGCGTTCCTGGGCTGTGCCGGTAGTTGTGCGTGATAAACCGAGCGAGGGAGTCGTTCTTTAGCGAGGCTGAACAGAGAGCTGCTGTTCTTGTTCTGCCCTCGTAATCGCTGGTAACCCGTTTAGTTCACAGGCCCTCGTAAGTCTTTCTTAAATTCACGGGTGATGGGTTATTATTTTCAACAGCCATTGCTTATGGCTTTTTCATACCTGATTTGGTTTTCTCGGTGTATTCGGGATCAGCAAAGTGCTGAATTAGTTACTGCTGAATCATATTGGAGACTTATACAACGCAGTGTGAGCTGCTTGCATAGGAGGCAGCAACTCCTTCAGTAGCGCTTCCGTGTGCTGCTGTAACCTGAAGTTTTCCAGGAGCTTTGTTTTGACTTTTCTGGATTGCTGCAGGATTCGTTCACTTTCATATTTTATTTTATTTTATTTTCCAATGGTAAATACATTTACTTAAGTTGTAGCTCTAGCATTGTGGTGTAAATGTTCAATATTGACTGTAGCGGGATGATGGATCTAAAACAAATGCTTCCACATGCAGAATGGAAACTGACTGCAGTCCTATGGAGTTGACCAATAACGCAGAGTCTGAAGAGGATTCTGATTATAGAGACTTCGAAGAAGCAGATGTAAAAGATATGAGACTAGAAGCCGAAGCTGTAGTGAATGATGTTCTGTTTGCTGTCAGCAACATGTTTGTTTCAAAAACCCTTCCATGTGCCGAGGATGTGGCATATATCAACGTGGAAACCAGGGAAAGGGGCAGATACTGTGTGGAGCTCACTGACTCGGGACTGAGGGTAAACTACCTTGTTTATAATTTCTTAACTGTCTTCATTTTGAATGATGTTCCCGTTCAGAAGGTACCTAGAAAGCAACTTCAGTGATACCAAAACTGCATACATATCCTTTTGTACTTTTATGAAACCCAGTTCTGTGTGTTCCCCTACAAAGTGGCACTTTTATTAATCCAAAACAAAGGAAGAAGGGAAGTTGGTTGGAAAATAGAGACACCTGCAAAATAACGAGGGCTGAAGCAGTTAATGGACAAATTTATTATAAGCACATCAGTCTTCTCAGGTGCCTAGAAAAAGTAGTAACACTGTGTATAGAAATCCATTCTGCACCATTCATATTATTTGTGCAAATGTGTAGAAGTAAGACTTCTTTCAGAGGTGACAGTGATAGATTTTACTACTATTATAAGTTTGGGAAAAAAGCATTTGAAACAGTCTAAATACTGTGTTACCAGTAAGACCCCCAGTAGAAAGCATAGACTGAAATTTAAATCGTTTTTTTTTTTTTTTTATATACTACTGTACAACTGGCAAAGCTAAACTTTGTGATACCTGTTTCTCATTGCAACATGATCCTAATCACAAAAAAATAACCAGTGATTTCTTTGTTGCAGGTAGTAGCTTATGATTTTGATCAGACTGATGACAGTTTGCAAAACCCATACCATGAAACTGTCTACTCCTTATTGGACACACTCAGCCCTGCATATCGGGAGGTGTTTGGAAATGCATTACTACAAAGACTGGAAGCTTTGAAGAGAGATAGTCAATCATGATGTTCCCTGAAGGGAGGAAGATTTAAGACTAGAAGGATTTCTTTGTATGAGGCACTGAGATCTTTGTTACAAATGCAGCTGCAAACATCTAAGATTCATTTCTTGCATTGATATCTAATACATACTAGAATTGTTCTATAACATATTGCTGCAGAAGATTTATGCATATCACAGTGCTATCCACTTGGATAGACTGTAAAACTAATCAATGTTTTCTTTTTGTTGTAGGTGAGCTTATAAATTCTTTCAAAAATGTTCAAAACTATTTGGTCTCTTTTCAAAGTGTTACTATTGAAAGCTCTTGAAAAAATGTAGAGAATGAATGTTATATAGGCAAATAATAATCATTTTTTGGCTTACTGGTTATTGCCATATCTGATTTTTAACATGGAAGTTAACCATCTAATTACTGTCTGTTAATTGAAATTAATAGAACAAAACAAGCAGTTAACTTCTATTTCAAACTGAGAAATACTTTCACACCAATTTGCTGTGCATAAATCTGAAAGTTCTGAGTTTTGATAACAAGAAAGCTCTTGAGCAGCTGAGTGTTGCTTATATAATGACAGTACCTGAGCTGAAAGGAAACTTAATTATTACTTGATCTGTCCTTGTCTACAATGAGCAACAAACTCCAAAGAGTAAATGATCTACCGTTACTATATGAATGTATTGTCTGAATTGCAAATGAACTAAGCACAGAAGTAAGTTAGGATGTAACAGGCTACATTCCTTAAGGATGATATATGTATGCTATACTGTAACTTTTTGGGAGGTTTGGAAGACATTTTAGCTTGTTTACTATTCTGAATGTGTTTACATAATGTGCAGGATATATCTACCCAGACTATTTCTGCTTCAGCCTTTACTTTCTACAACACGGTAATTTGGTACTCCTGTTTTTCAGCTTTTCTTCCTCAATTTTACAGTATCCTCTTCTAATGAATACAAGTATGCATTGTAATACTGATTGCATTGTATTGGTTTGAAACCAAAGGTAGGAAATTTATTTGGACTAACACAAGCTGGAAGACATAACTTGTATTTTCTACTTAAAAACTGGTACAAATCTCTTTATAACATATTGCTTTAACTTTTCAAGTATGTATTGAGTGGTAGACTTTTTTTAAAAAAAATACTGTTACTTAGAAATACTGGAACTTCTGAACTAGCATTCTATGACCATGATACTTTTTGTATTCTTGTATTATTCAATATTTGTGCATCTTTATTTATGCTGTCATGCTGTTGTGCTAAGTATATCTGTATCTTTATTGGAGCCATGCTTAGGAACATATCAGTCCTTGTGAACTCACAAATTCTATTGACTTCAGTAGAGCTGTATTGACTTAAACCTGTTGAGGAGTAGCAATATTAATTGGAGAAGGCAAACATTGGATTTTTTAGAATAGTTTTGGGGTAATGGTGTTATAACTGTGACGGGTGAGATAACCACAGTCATTTTTTCCATTTTCTACAGCTTAATTTGATGTTTGTTTCATTATTTTGTTAGGTTGATACTCCCAATGTTAATCTTTTGATCCTGGGTGAGGACCTATGCTCTAAAATTTGTTCATAGGCTCTGTTTTGCACACAGGTCTGTGGCATGTAGTTAGTCCTCTGTGAGGAGAATGTACTTTACCAAATTTATATTTGAATATTTTCCCTTGCAGTTAATTTCCTTGTTCAATTTAAATGACTAAAGCATTAAATAAATGCACCAGCGTGTTAGTGATTTTTACAGGGAGGGAAGAGAGGGGAGTGACCAACCAAAATGATTATTTCCATAAACACATCTTAAATACCAGATGATTAACAAGTATTTCAAAACTGCCTTTGGCTGTAAACTCATATCCACTGAAACTGTTCTGGAAGGACAGAGCAGACAACTGTAAAGAGGATCTTGGAAAGGAAGCATGAGAATGACAAGTGGAAAAAATGCCAAAATTAATGTTGCGCTGCCAGGTTTTTTTTTTTCCTTAGACAACTTTAAAATGCTTTGTCATTACAAGTGCTTATTATAAAGCTAAGCTGAGAACTTACATAACATCCAGTTTGTAGATGTTTCTGGAAGAACTCTCTGCTGTTTCTTAGAAGGTAGTGGAGTATTAAAAATTAGTGACGTCATTCCACCGTGTTTGGTTGTGGGCTTATGGAGGAAATGCTCTCCGTTCTTTACATTCGGAACTGGCACCGACATGGAGCCGCTTTGAAGCGCTGATGGTACATAATTTCAGTCGCTCTCCTTAGACCAATTTGTATTTTCTGAAGCCAAATGAACGCTGCTTGGCCTCATGCAGCTGTAAAACTGTGAACTGCACTTTTCTGGAAGATTTAACATGATGTATTACTAGAAGAATCATCACCCCGGGGAGGGGGTTGGACTCAATCTCTAGTGGTCCCTTCTAACCACTACAATTTTGTGATTCTGTGATCAAAACGTAGTATTGCTTAGTACAAGTTGCCTTTGCCAGACCACCTCAAAGCCTCCTTGCTGTTGGAACAGATGTCACATAACAGAGCCTTAAAACGTTTTTTTTCTCTCAGCAGTACTAAATCTTGCCCTGCCCGCTGTCAGGAAGTGGGGAATAACGTCCCCCCGCAAAGGGCCCCGCAGCAGGAGCTGATGGCACGGCCGCGGCCGCGCAGCCCCCGCCCAGCGCTCCCCGCCCTTAGCAACGGGCCGCGTCGCGGTTGCGGCCATGGCGGCGGGCGCTGCGCGGAGCCGACGGATCTTCCTCAACCACCTCGATTCCTACTGCGGCCGCAGCATCGGGGAGGTTCGGGAACCGGCCCGCGGCGGGCAGTGCGGCGGGGACCCGGGCCGGGGGAGGGGGAGACAAACGTGCGTCTTGTATGTTGCAGTATTTATCCAGCTGTGTTGTCGGAGCGTCGCTAGAAAGCGTGGAAGGAGAGGAGGAGGAAAGTGAGAATCAGTCGGAGGCTGAAGTTTCCAGGAAGCCAAAGGAGGGACTGTACCAAATAGTGGGGACTCTCTCTAAGCCAGAAAGTACTAAACCATGCTTTGCAGAGGAAGCATATGCAGTAAGTCATAACCTCATTTCAGGTCATTGCTAGACAGCATTACACATATTGCAAGGCACGTAAATGATCCTCATTAATCAAGTGTTCTGTTGTTGCAGGAAGTTTCACACGCATTTATTTCTCTGCACCCTGTCATCTCCTCCCTCGTTCAGATATAACAAATGTTAAAACAAAGGAATCCAGTCTTAAAAAAGATTCTGTTTTAAATAAAACAGTAGTTCTGGACATGTTGTCTATCCTGATCACCCACAGATCTGTTTTCTTTTTCCCTCAAAACACACTGTTGTATCTCTCATATCTTCTTAGCGTAGTAGTACTGTGAACAAAGCATCTTCCCTCCTTAACACTTCACTGACATAACAGCTGTCACTAGCAGCTAACTGTTCCAAATACACACTTTTTACATGTACATCCAAAGTTCAGTTTACTGAAGGAGGCTTGGTTATTAATTTTCTGAAACCAAAATTGTTTGTAACCATCAACTTGATTATCCAGAATCTCTTCAAAAATGTGAATGTTTTAATCTGAAATTCTATACAGATGAGCCTTTTAATAAACAATAAATTACAAATTCTAAAAAAATAGAAATTCCAAAATCACTTAAAATTGTATGTTCTTTTGAACTATATAAATGTGCATTGTAAATCAGAAGTTTCAGCAATTAATTTGCATTCCATTGCTTTACTTCTCACTGACAAATAGTTTGACATGAGTCTTGTAAGTTATTTAATTATCCTTTTCCGAAATATGTGTGCAAGAAAACTACATTCTACCAGTAAGTTAAATTTGAAAAGGAATGTTGGATATTGGGTTTTCTTCTTCTTTTTTTCCTTTTTTTTTTTTTTTTTTTAATCAAAAATTTTTATTTATTCTTTTCCCCTAGGTCTCTTCTCAGAAAGAGCTCTTAAGCTATTTGCTTGAATGTGACATTATTTTATATAATATCACTGAGGATGCAAACCAAATTGAGGAAGCAACATGGGCTGCTTCTGGTTAGTACAGCTACCAACTGAACAGAAAGCTGTTTGCTATACAGTTACTGAAGTTTACTATAGATGTCTAACAAATTAACCTGGGATTTATCGTTCACTGTAATATAAAACTGGGTTCCTTGATGGGGAAATGCTGCATGAATTGTTCAATTAATTTGAATGCATTCCACAGCCCATTGCTCCTTGATCATAGGATGGTCCAACACTAGAAGTAACATAGCTGCATAGACAGCTATTTCCATTAAAAAATATCCACTGCCATCTTATCTATTTGTATTTGCTCACAGGAGCAAATTTTTACCCACCTTCAATGTTTCTATGTTTTATATAAATATCTTAATTGTTGAAGAGGGTCCAGAGGAGGGCCACGAAGATCATCAGAGGTCTGGAGCACCTCACCTACAAAGACAGGCTCAGGGAGCTAGGCTTGTTCAGCCTGGAGAACAGAAGACTGCAAGGACACTTTATTGCAGCCTTCCAGTATTTAAATGGGGATGATAAAATAGGAGGGGAATCAACTTTTTACTTGGGTAGATAGGGATAGAACAAGGGGAAATGGTTTCCAAGTCAATGAGTGAAGGTTTAGATTGGATATCAGGGGGAAGTTTTTCACAGAGAGAGTGGTGAGGTGCTGGAACATGCTGCCCAGAGAGACTGTAGATGCTCTGTCCCTGGAGGTGTTCAAGATCAGGTTGGATGGGGCCCTGAGCAACCTGGCCTAGTACCAGATCTGGAGGCCCGTGGCAGCGGGGTTGGAACTGGATGATCCTTGGGATCTCTTCCAACCTAAATCATTCTATGATTCTGTGATCTTAAGTATATTTTTACTTAAATCTGTTATTTTAAATATCATTAACAGTTTTCCTACAGCTTTTTCCTGATGGTCATAACCAAATTCTAATGGTGTCGGGAATCATTTTATGGTGACAGTGCAATATTGTTCTTCATATTAAGTTCAGTTAAACTAAACTATTCTTTCCTGTTTACTGCTTGATAATTTTGCTCTAAATTAAAGAAACTTCCTTCAATTTTGTAGACAAGCTGTTTCAGTTGCAACAAGCGTACTTATGTCAGTATCTCAGCAGTCAATAAAGACGAAGCATTTTCTAGTATACATTGTTTCTTTGTTGTTTTTTTTTTTTCTGTGATATGCAGCTCTGTATAGATTGTGTTAATTACTGACCGTGTGGTTACACATTATTTTTTATTTGTTTTCTTTTTATCATTGATTCATTTCTATTTTACACCAAGAAAAATAAAGGGTATTTACTTCAAAACACTGAACACACAGCATTATAGCATAAATGTATATACACAGGGCCAAAAGAAAATATAAAATTTGTGTAATATAGTTTAAATAGATTAAATCCTTTGCTTTCATTTAACAGCCCTACATATGGAAATAGAGCATTTTGCTACACCAAAAACGTTCATCCTGATTTCAACAGTAATGAGCTGGGCAAAAAGCAACCCCCCCGACCCAGTAAGTAATATGAGAGAACACTCCTCTCTTACCATTTCCACTTAATGGAAAAGAAATAAATAAATATTTCCATTTGATTTATTTGTTAATTTTATTTAAAGTATTGCAGTGTGTACTTCAATAACACTAACTTCATCTGCTGGTATATGAAGTATATTTTTTCTTCGTGGCCCTTTTACTTCAACCCCCACTGGTAAGTGGGGGCTCTACTTGTTAAATCTATTCCACCAAACAGACAAGTGTAGGCAATGAGATACTATAATAGGCAGACATTAGGATTGCTTGGACATACTCTCTCAAGTATCAGCTTTAGAAGTTCTAAGAATTTCAAATGAAA